GATCACCTTCAAAACCATCTTTAGACATATCATGAGGAGATTAACATGTATTTAAGCAATGTTTATTTACTTCCCGTATGGTAATAGTATTAGGGATGATCGACCTACTTAGGTCGTACTCTAAAACATCTCAAGGGAGTTACAACAATTAAAGTTTTACTGATATCTTCAGGAGCCATCCAAAGGCATTTGCATAATCCAAGTCATAAGGGTATTTAGGACATTCTAGTATTCAAGGTAGATTTATTCATTCCAGAGCTTAAGGGTATTCAGTCATTCCAAGCCATGGGGGTATTTTAGGTCATTTCATACTTTAGTAGTATTTTGGTCATTTCACAGTTCAAGGGTATTTCAGTCCTTTCATTCCGCCTAGTCTTTCCATTTTATTCAAACTTGTCATTTATTTCAATAATTTCAAACAATTATGATAATGAGAGTACTTTCTATAAGTTACTCTTTGGGCTAATGCTCATAAATCAGAAATTCTGGGTCTAGTGTCTTCTCAGAGGTTACGAACTGTTTATTAAAATCTTTCGAACAAAATAGCAACTTAATAGTTAAATCAGTAATTTATCGCATTAGATACAAATTTTTATGATACTTTTTAAATCAGGGTCAATTTGATCTATTTTTATCTCTCAAGGGTAATTTCGTAATTTCTCACCTAGGTATTTTCGTTGTCTTAATTTTTAATAAGTGTAATTAAATTTTAAGGGTTATAAGGTTAAAAGCTTTACTGGTTAATCACATAACTTGAAATTGTTCCTATTAAATCTTCTACTTTTTTATATGAGCCATCAGAGTTTTATTCAATTACTTACTTTTTACCGTATTGACTTTTTTATCGTATTCGAATTGAGTTTAGAAATAAATAACTATACAAACGAGACCAAACATAATCACCCATGCATTTAGTCATACCAACATGTATTATAATGCATGCATATGGTAGTAATGTTTACATCGATTTTTTAGCTACACCGGTCAAGCATTCAAACTCTATTTGATCGCTCTTAAACTTAAATCCAACGTCCAATAATATCTCAGATACATATCAACAAAAATTACATCAGAAACGAAGCTTAATTACGGAAAATGAATTGAATCGAGAGGTTAATCAGTGAAAAATAGCTTATCGGATTCGATTTTGGCGAAACAGACCTCAAAAACGGACTTACGACATCTAAAAACTTTAGGATAGGTGTTCCTGAAAAAAGTCAATGACCGATCAATAACGGTCAACTGCAAGTAAATCGCCAATTACGACCAGTCAACAGCTCAACTCGGTGGTTCTGCTCAAACAACTCGATCCAAATCGGTCAAACCGGGTTAGATCGGTTCAACCAGTCAGTAGACCCCCAATTGACAGACGACACCCATACGCAGAGACGGAGCGTGCGACGGCTCCGGTCATCGGTTCGAAATAAAATTTTCCAGTCTCGTAGATCGGCACCTCGAGAGTCTTGTGCATGTGTTATTTTTTAATGAAACACGACGGGGTATGGAATTTTAAAACGTTTAACTTTTCCAACAGTGACCGACGAGTGACAACGACAGAACAACATCGATGTGACGATTCCAATCGGGTTTTGAATGCACGGTGACGGTGAGTCAAGCTACGATGGCGGTGAGGCGAGCCAATGCCTTGATCGGTCGGAATCAAGGTTTAATCGCGATGTCGGGTGGGGTTTCATCACACAATCGAGCGGCGAATGACGTCGTTGTTCAGTGCAGGGAGGCTCGGGTTTTGGTCGTCGGTCGATGATGATTTAAACAAGGGTGGTGGCAAGTTGAACGGTGGTCGGGCGATGAAGAATAAGGGACATGACGGGGGAGCGGCTAGGGATTTCGGGTTTGGGAATTGAGGATTTTTTGTTATATCACCTAAGCTTTAAGCCTTAAATGATATTTTCATAATAAAATATCAAGAACAATGCGTATTCTAAACAGTTAGGGGGCGTTTGGATCATGGATTCACTATTACTGGTAGAAATATTTTTTTCCAGATTGTGATACCCACGTTTGGATGGGCAAGATTTCCAATAGGGGAGTAATAAAATATTCCCAACAGTATTTTGTTTTTGAAATTTTACCGGGAATGCTAAACCCATGGTGGGCTTAGGTATTTTTTCGCTTCAACTTGGACTAAAATGCCTTTGAAACAAAAGATTTATTTAAAAAATACCCTTACTTTTATTTCAAAAGCTGTAGTATATTATCATAAATTTATTATCATAACTTTATTTCAAAAATATTTCCAACTGAGAATTTTATTTTTTTATTTATTATCATAATATTTTAAATATTAATTAAGATTAAAAGAATATATAGTATATTTACTCTTTTAATCTACCCATTTATCTTTTAAATTTTGTAAAACATTTATATAAATTTTATGAATTTAAATTTAATAAAAATATATATAAATTGAAAATGATACAATAATATATTTTCTATGAATTTTTATATAAATATTTTTCATTTGAATATTTGGAAATTTAGTAAAATATGCATTACAGTAATCTTTTATTCATTTAACCAAACATTGTAATCATACATTCATGTCAAACAAACCAAACACAATAATATAACATTTTTAATAATATGTAAGGTAATGTAACATTCCGGTAATCTTATTCCCAGAGGTAATGTTATATTCAATGAACTAAACACCCCCTTAGGGTATGGGCGACTTTACCTGGGGGACAAGGGTTTGAGCTCAGCTGGCCACCAACTCTATTTTTATTTATTTATTTTCTCTGTTGATAGAAAAAGATAAATTTAGGATTAAGTCCCTAAACTTCCCACAATTTCTAAATCGAACTACAATTTTTGAAAACTTGCAATTTGATATATAAATTAATTAAATTATCAAAAACTTGCAGTTTGGTCCCTAAATTAATTAAATTAATTTATAAGTTATAATATTTTTTAACTTTACCTGGGGGACAAGGGTTTGAGCTCCGCTGGCCACCAACTCTATTTTTATTTATTTATTTTCTCTGTTGATAGAAAAAGATAAATTTAGGATTAAGTCCCTAAACTTCCCACAGTTTCTAAATCGAACTACAATTTTTGAAAACTTGCAATTTGATATATAAATTAATTAAATTATCAAAAACTTGCAGTTTGGTCCCTAAATTAATTAAATTAATTTAAAAGTTATAATATTTTGTAATTATTAGGGTTGTGACAGGTAAAATTCGATAAGACTTATGTGCATCCGAGTTACTTTAGCAGTAGGACAATAGTCTTGTGTGCATAAAATATTCAGATATATCCAAGTCAGTGCAAGATGCACTTTAGTCGCTAGTTGAACATGGTATTGATGCTATGTGACCCAGACACGTTCCAAGTACTCAAGAGTAGTAGACTAGCCAGGCAAGGTACTAACACATAATGAACTACAAATTAACAAGGAAAAGCAGACAATAAACCATAACACAACAGTAAGCAAATAATTGCCAAAATGAAATTGAAATAAAATAACGACCATAACACAACAATAAGCAAATAATGGCCGAAAATCTAAAACGAACCCAAAATACTTCTTTTTTTCTCCTAAACCCAAATCCTAGGTCACTCTTACATAAAACCAACCCCAAAAGCCTAAATTTAACAAATAAATCTGAAGAGTCTACCTTATTCCACCGCAAAAACCACCATCCGATGGAACTCCCGTCAATATATGTTGTTTCCCTCTCACCAATTAAGGCTTTGATCGAAGGGATTCTTGATCTAAGGCTTTGAACCAATGTTTGATTCTTTTTGTAGTTTCGGTTTCTTTCTGTATTTTTTCTTTTATTTTTTGAATCCCTTTTTTTTGGAATCCGGATTTACATATTATAACAATGGTGATTGTGTGTTTGGTGAGACTATGGTCGAGGGGAGATGATTTCGCAGTAGGGATGAAGTAGTAACAGTGATGGTATGAGGCTCTCGGATTTTTCGGGATTTTGATTGTTTGGATTTTTTTTATTTGATTTGTTATTTTGGTGTTTGGAACAATGGTGGCTCGGAACCGGCGCAGGCGGCAACAACGATGGCTCTTCGTCGATGACTTTCCTTCTTGGGAAGATTTAATGGTCAGGGATGGGTGGCTCCAGATGAAAAACCGAAACCTTATTTCCCTGGATTCATACGGGCCTGCACACTGTTGGGCCAGTTGCTTTGTTATTTTCTTATTGGGCTTGTCCATTTGTATATGTTTGGATTTGTATTTTACATAACCTGTAAAAAATATTAAATAATATTAAAATTTTTTAACATTTACTATATATATATATTTATAACTTTAATTAATTACTGAAGACTTATAGACATTTAATTAAATAGAAAAAGTAAAATATAAAACAAAACCGAATTTAAATTCGGACAAAAAATAATGTCTACGTCATGTAATAATGTAAACACGATAATAATAAATGTAAAACAATAGTAAAATGAAGTACATCAAAGATTTATCGAAGAGAAATTCTTTTGGAAAAAATTAAATGAGGGTTTCTTCACTTTGTCGAAAAGGAGTACACCAAAATTTACATCTAAACACAATTTAGAGTTTAATCAACTTATTTATAAACTCTAATCCATAGTAAAATTATATAAAAAATTGAGTTTCTTACTTCTTATCAGCCTGCAAATGAAAAAGTAAAATTCTATACGGGTTGAACTGTTCTGTACAATAACAGTTCCTATATGCAAATTTCATGCTGTAAAAATATGCAATAAGGCTTCTCCTAGAAGCAGTACTAATTTAATAAAAACATGTAGGATCCAATCCTTGACCAAACTTAAAACATAATGAGAGCATGCTTCCCACAAAAGCCTATCAAATGAACCAATCGTAACGACTCAGTATCCTTTGGATCCACAAAAGCCTATCAAATGAACCAATCGTAACGACTCAGTATCCTTTGGATCCACTTTCTGCAACTTCACTTTAAGGCAACATATAAAACCTTATGTATATGTATATATACCCCCCAAATGCCTTCCTCAAATCCATCCATTCTTCTCACCTTCATTTACAAAACAAAAAAAATGGCTCTCTCTTTGCTTTCCAGCCCCTTCTTTCTTCCATTCATGGCTTCCCTGCTCATGTTTTCAGCTCTGGCTCATGATTTCTCCATAGTTGGTTACTCACCAGAGCATTTGAGTTCCAGGGAAAGCCTCCTCGAGCTCTTCGAATCATGGCTATCGAAGCACGGAAAAATTTACGAGTCCATCGAAGAGAAGCTGCTGAGGTTTGAGGTTTTCAAGGATAATCTAATGCACATTGACAGGAGGAATAAGGAAATCAGTAGCTACTGGCTCGGGTTGAATGAGTTTGCTGACTTGAGCCATGAAGAGTTCAAGAGCAAGTATTTGGGACTCAAATCACAGGTTTTTAGAAAGAAACAATCACCTACAGACTTCACTTACAGAGATGTCGTTGATTTGCCCAAGTCTGTTGATTGGAGAAAGAAAGGTGCTGTCACCCCTGTCAAGAATCAAGGTTCTTGCGGTAAGGAATATTGAATTCCAGCCGGAACCCAAAAAATTGATCCGGAAACTAATTGTACGTGAATATTGTGTTTGCAGGTAGCTGTTGGGCTTTTTCAACTGTGGCAGCCGTTGAGGGCATCAACAAAATAGTGACTGGGAACTTGACATCTTTGTCGGAACAAGAACTAATCGATTGCGACACATCTTTTAACAGTGGCTGCAATGGAGGTCTTATGGATTATGCATTCGAGTTCATCGTTGCCAATGGCGGACTTCGCAAAGAGGAAGACTACCCTTACCTCATGGAGGAAGGCACCTGTGAAGAAAAGAAGGTATATACATATACACATACATGGGCATACATACATACGTACATGCATACATACACTAATGGCTTGTTTTGGTTATATGTTCAGGAGGAAATGGATTTGGTGACAATTAGTGGTTACCACGACGTTCCCAAAAACGATGAGCAAAGTCTTCTAAAAGCGCTAGCTCACCAACCACTCAGCGTAGCCATCGAAGCTTCCGGCAGAGATTTCCAATTCTACAGTGGGGTAAAAACCTTGTAACCTGCAGTAAGATCATAAGATTTCATATCACAAGGTTTTTCCCAAATTTATTAATTCCCAGGGTGTGTTCAACGGTCTGTGTGGAACCGAGCTCGACCATGGGGTTGCAGTAGTCGGCTACGGAACATCGAAGGGGGTAGATTACATAATCGTGAAGAACTCATGGGGTCCGAGATGGGGAGAAAAGGGGTACGTAAGGATGAAGATGAAAACTGGAAAACCTGAAGGGCTTTGCGGTATTAACAAAATGGCATCATATCCTACCAAGAAGTGAAGGTATGAGTTCTGGTGTTAAAGAACTCTTTTTAAGCATTTTCTTCGTATATTTGTTGGCCTGCTTTTGCCATGTTCCCTGATTAATACTTAATAAAGTGGTTTAAAATTTCATTTTGGCTTAAAAATTTTCGTATAAATCTTTGACTTAAAGCAGTATGGAGCTAAAATTAATTTGTGAAAATAAATAAAAATCCATAAACAATGATGGCAGAAATTTTTTTCACACAATCATTTCTGGCAGTATGTTACATGCCTTATTGTTACTTGTAGTCTCTGTCTCTACCTCCAGTGTATTCAAGTTTCATCAAAATATGATGGTAGTTCAAATTTGCATGAGTTCATCATGCATGCATATGCATGGACTAGAATGAAGCGCATGTAACTGGTTTTCACATTTCATTGTTTGATTTAAGTGAGAGCTCTTGATGTTCAAACCCAAGTTTCTTGTCCCTACGAGCTGAGTATCAACTTCAAGTGCAACCGAGATCAAACAAATTTATCAACCCTAAACTTCGTTGTATTTAAAGACGCAATCGTACAGTCGGCCCCCAAGAAACTGGGCAACTTCCGGATGTTTTACCTGTGAAAATACATGGTCAATGAGCATAAATTTCTGCAAACTGATGAAATGTTGCAAAAGCAATGCCAGATAGAGGTGGAACTTTTTGTCTTTTACCGTTCCGATCTTGACTGAATCACACTTGAACTCAGAATAAAGATTAGTCTCTATTCCACGACCCTGAAAACACATGTACATATAGAAACCCTATATCAAAACAATATAAAACAGTTGATCGGAAAGGCTTAAATCCAATCGTAAAACACAGAAGCAACCTGAACCATAGTCACAGTACAGTGGACTTATTAAATCAATCCAAGATAAAGACTTTTATCATTGACAATTTTGCTTATTGTTGAACATGTTAAACTATCCATGGCTACCAATTTAGACTAAAGATAATACTTATTCCAATAGCTTGGTTTCGATTATAATTCTTGTCACGTTCTCAAAGTCATGAGGCAAAGAAAAAAAATCAACTGGAAATCTGCTGGATTATGAAAAAACCTACATTGCCTTCCAAAATAACTAGGTCTGCATCACTCGCCAGGTAAGCAAGCTCCTGTGATACTCTCGTAAGATCAATAACCTGCAAAAAAGAAGAGGGTGTTACTTCAATGACCAAAAAATGTAAATTCTTTATCGAGGTTAGATGCATTAGGTGAAATGGTATAGTCATATCTTACAGGCAAATCATTACCAGAATTGGCAATCAAAAGTTTTTTAGTATCAACACCAACAAGCATACCACTTTCATCCTTCAACTGGTAAATTAGCACGTAATAAGTTAGAGATGGCCCAAAAAAAGAAAAAGAGGACTAAGGAAACATAATGATCATAATCTAGAACTGTTTTTCTCTGCAACACCTTTGATAAAATTTCAACCAATTCACGGTAAGTTATATCATTGATGGAAGGCAAGTCATTAGCTGCCAAGACAACCTGAGAAAAAAACATTATAAACATAATTCTATTTGATTTTTTCTAACTAATATAGAATATTAGCTAAGATGTTGTTTTTGTCAAAAGTTGCATGGTTTGTTGGTTGAATATTGAACTCTTAATGATCATTGTTCAATCTGTTGCTTACTATACAAAATAACGACCACAAGTGCAAGGATTTAAGTTATATACTATTTATGCATCAACAACACAATCAATATAACGAAGATGGACTTTAAGATTGTTGAAACCAATAATTTAACTGAAGAACTTTCCTTATCTTCTATAGTGTTTTACAATATCATAATTAATTAGTTAAACTGAAGAACTAATAACATGTATAACATATATATAATTTTAAAAAGTACATGAAAATGTTTTTGGATTTTAATTGCAAACCTGGGTCCCACGTTTTAGCAACTCTCTTGCAAATGGCAAAATACCCAAGATCACATCTGCACCAGAGTTATCGACAAATATGACTGCTTGTCATTGCAATTAAAAACAAAAGTTGGAAATAAGACACGTGCAAACAGCATCAACTTTCAATTCTATTGAAAAAGGTCAGTGCTGATGTATTAATATATAGACTAATTTGACTTGCCTTTTTCCAAGATTTCCTGCTTGATTTCGCTATAAAAGTGTCTAAGTCATCAATGACCCAAGGTCGAGGAACAAGATTTTGACAACTAGCCAAGAAGGGCATTCCATCTCTCGAGAAAACCTTAGCAAGCTTCCAAAAGTATGGGGAAATAGGACAAACGAAAAGTAAGTACCATTGCAAAATTTATCCTATTATGGCATACTTCTATTCAAAGTGAATACCAATATCACAGAAAATATCTCAGCCAGAAAGCATGAAACATGTTCAAGCATAACTCGAATGTATGAGAAGGTTTTCATTTATCAATGATTCATCATTCATCCATGGGCAAGATGATCCTGACATCCAGTAAAAACTAAAAGCCAACACTGTTCCAGATGGAAAATGTAACAAGGAACTATTTTACAGAGCACGAAAAATGCATGGCAATAATGTTGATGCATGGAGATAAATATCCCATGGTTGATAGAACCAACCTCTGCAGAACCAAGATTGAATAAGTTTCCAGCAAATATTCCTCTAACTAGATTCTCCAGGCGCTTCTCTCCATCTTCAATATTATCATTAAGACGAACTACATCTGGGAATAGGGAGATAGCCTTGGCATTCTCTACATCCTATTGCAAGTTTTTCAAAGAACAGTGTTAACAGAAATAGGGAACATCATATAACCCTCGCAATTATATATCTTTAACAGTTGACGCCTCCACTGCCCTCCATCACCTTTTCTTACATTGCAAGTTGGACAAATCGTAAAATGATTATATCGCATCCAAAATTTTCATTATGTTATTATTCCTTGAGAAACTATCATTTTACCACAAAAAAAGGAAATAAAATTGCCAGTACTGTCCATACAAGCAGATACACCAAAACGAGAAGGTTATAAACTGGAATTCTGACTACTGACATTTAAAAGTTTTTAGAATTACAATAATCTGCAGCATAAATTTCAATACTCACTTTGACTTTCTTGAATGCATCTCTAAATCCTAATTCTCTAAGAACCTGTTCACGAAGTCGGCAGAGAAGCTACAAAACACCAAAACTATCATAAGGGCTGCTGCATACATTTATTCAAGAAAAACCATTCTAAAATCCATAAAGTAATATAGAAATTAGTTTTAAAAAAATTCCAACTTACAATACAATCAGGGGGCCCGCCATGGCTTTCGGGATCTTTCTTGATATCGTCAAGTAACTCAGCATACCTTTCACAACATTAAGCAAACAAAAACACATAAATGTGATAAAAATACTTAAGGAAACAGTTTCAGATGGTTATGAGTTTTGAGCGACCAATTAGTCATTCTTTCATGGTGGGAACATTGATATTTTACCTAAAAAAAATGTTCAAAGACAAACCAAATAAACTGTTGAAAGGAAGGGATCATATGTAAAGCTAAAGAGGAAGCACAAGAAATACCCAATACCTTTGAGCAAATTTCTCAGCTTTAGCTGAAGCATCAGCCACAGTAGTACCGCTCGCAGCGTTGTTCCTGCAATAAATTGAAGTGATTAAAAAATCTAATTTCAATATTAAAAAATTATATAAATTAATAGCATAATGACACAAAAGAAAAATCATATTAACCGAAGAACTTAATGGAAGAACCACATATAACCCAGGAAACGAAACAAATGAAATTTGAAAATTAAAAGAAGGGAAAGGGATACTTGAAAGAGGGAATGGAGTTGAGGTAGGTGTCCATCCAGGCAATTTCAGTAGGGGTAGCCTTTCGAGGATTGTCAGAAGGGAATCTGTAGGGAATGGTGCACGGCCTATAGTTTGATTCGATGGGAGTTTTCAGCAATGGAAATGGCACCATCTCTGAATCGCTCTCCATTACTTGGTTTTCTTGATGGGGAAAAATGAGAAACAGAAATCACAAACCCTTCAACCTCCTTCTAACCCTTCCTTTTGTGTTTGATCTTGCTTAACCAACAACTTCAACACTTCAAACTTCTTCTCTTGCCTGTGAAAAATCAAAGTTCCACAGAAGGCTGCGTTTAAACTCTTTCTGGGCCTTCTGTTTTGGATAAACTACATATTGAGCCACTCAACTATCATTTAAATATTTTTTTTTTCAAAATCACACTAAAGTTGCGATTTGATTGTTTTTTTGTCAAAAAATTAATGATAATATTCACATGTCATAATATTATATTATCATTAAAAAATTATCACGTAACAGAATTAAAACGTAACGTTAAGTATAATTTTAAATAAAAAATAATCAGATGAACAAAACGAAACCTAAGTGATAATTGGCTGAATATACTAATTTACCCTTTTGTTTTTGGCAAAACGATACTAGTATTATTTTTTCTCTCTCTCAATATGGTCTTCTAACTCAGAAAATAAACTCAATACGACCCTTTGACTAATGTTTTTCGTTGTTGACTGTAACGGTGCTGACGTGGTAGTTCACGATAATAATGTGATATTCTACGGTGCTGATATGGTAGTTCACGATAATAATGTGGCATTCTACGGTGCTGACATGACAATCCACTACGACTAATAGTGTGACAGATGTACTAAATTTGTTTTTTTAGTTTTATTCTATGGTCAAATTATCTTTTTAAAAGTTTAAGGACCTACGACTAATAGTGTGACAGATGTACTAAATTTGTTTTTTTAGTTTTATTCTATGGTCAAATTATCTTTTTAAAAGTTTAAGGACTTATTTAATTAAAAAAAAATAAAAGTGATTTTAAATTTTAAATATAAATATTAAAATTATCTTTTTAAAAGTTTAAGGACTTATTTAATTAAAAAAAAATAAAAGTGATTTTAAATTTTAAATATAAATTATTTAAATATTTAAAAATAAATATAAGAAATGTTAAAAATGAAAAATAAATTACAATATATATATACATATATATATTATTAAAAATACTAAAATTATTATAAAAAATTAAATTTTTTTGAATATATATCCTAGGTTATAAAATGGTAACTTATAAATTATTAAAAAATTAAAAAATATTTTTGTAACGATATATTATATATATAATATATATATATATATATATATATAAGTATATCATCAATACTTGTATAAAATATTATTATCAAATTAATTGAGACTTACGAAATTTAAATTAATCGAGACTTATAAATTTTTGAATTAGTCAAAACTTCTTTTCTGATTATCTTTTATGTCAAAATTTATTATATAATTATCTTTTAAATTAGTCAAGAATTACAAAAAGATAATTAAAAAACATAATAAGTTTGAATTAATTCCAAAATTATAAATCTCGACTAATTTAAATTTTATAATTCTTAATTAGTATAGTAAGAATACTTTTTATAAATGTTGATAATATGCATATATTATATGTTACGTGTATTGTTATGTATAATATATATTTTTTATTTTTTTTATTTTTCATAGGTTATATATATTCAGTTTTTAAGAAAAAATTACAGTAATAGTTTTAGTATTTTTAATATGTATATTAAATTTTTAAATAATTTTATTTTTAGTATTTTTATATTAAATTTTTGGCAAAAGGGTATTTGAGGTCTCTGTACTTGTCCAAAATATCAATTGGTTCTCAAACATTTTTTACACTCAATATGGGCCTCTAACTTATAAAAATAACCCAATGTGAGCCTTTAACTTATAAAAAGAACCTAATGTGACCCTTTGACCAATATTTTTCGTTATTTATATTTACGGTGTTGATATGACACTTCACGGTACTGATGTGGTGATCCACAGTGTTGATGTACTAGTCCACAGTCGCTGGTGACGTAGCTGATGACGTGACATGTGAGCTAAATTGGTTTTTTTCAAAGTCGAGGGTCGAATTGATTTTTTTAAAAGATGAAGTGTTGATTTGATTTTTTAAAAAATAAAAATATTTTAAATTTAAAATATTCACTAAAAATATTTTTAAATATTTTTAAATAATCATTAAATTCAAAATATTTTAAATTTGCGGGATAAATCGATATTCCCACTTTTTTTTCATAAGACCAAATTTAGGTGAAGTTTACTTTCATATATCATGTTATATTCACTAAAAATGTTCCACTTAATTGGATAACTATTTTTTATTTTTTAATTATATAGTTTCATGATAATTCATAAATTATAATTTCATAATTTTTAATTTTTTTATAAGACTTTATAATATTTATTTAATTCATTTTTTATAAAAATATTAGTGAAATATAGATTTAAAAAAAACACTTAGAATTTAAGATAATTAGATGTAAATATATAAATGAAATTGGTGTAGGAAGATAAGAATTTAGATTTATATAAATAATAGTCAAGTTAAATTCGAAGTAAAAAAAGTAATAATATATATTTTTAATTCTTGAATAATTTAATTTGTATTATTATATTTAAGTTTTGGAATATGTTTATATTTTGAAATTTAAAATATTTTAATTTTTTTAAAAAATAAATAAGCCCATAAACTTTTTAGAAAAATCAATTTGGCCTTCGAATTTGAAAAAATAAACAATTAAGCCTATCTGACACATCATTAGCCACATCATCAACCACTGTGGACTGCCACGTCATCATTGTAGATAGCAACATCAACATCGTGAAGTGTCACGTCAGTATCGTACGTCAACAATGGAAACCGTTGATTAATGGAAACCGTTGATCAAAGGGCCACATTAGGTTCTTTTTATAAGTTTGAAGGCCACTTTGAGTGCAAAAAAATGTCGAGGGACACATTGATTTTTTGGACAAGTACAGGGACTTTTGCCTTATTTTTTTAAATATTTAAATAATTTTATTATATAATTTAAAAATAACTTTTATTTCTCAAAAAAATAAATAACCTTTGAACTTTTAAAAATAATACAATTTGACCTTCGAAAAAATCAAAAAATAAACTTAGCTCATCTGTCATGTTATCCACCACGTAATCAACTACCATGGACTGACATATTAGCATCATAGACCGCCATGTCAGTACCGTGATCTTTCACATCAGTACTGTAACAATCAAGAATAGAGAACCTTGGTCAAATAACCACATTGGATTTGTTTTCTGAGTAAGACGACCACATTGATAAAAAAAAACAATATGAGGACCACATTGATTTTTTGTAAAGTACAACGACCTCTGATTTTTTTACCTTTGTTTTCATATAATTTTTTTAAATAAGTATTTAAAGTTAGAGCAAAGTACAAAAATAGTCCCCCGATTATAGGGCACTATTTTATTAAGTATCATGACTATTAAAAGTTACAAAATGGTCCTCCAACTATAGGACATTGTTTTGTTGAGTCCTTCGAACTATTAAAAGTTACAAAATTTTACCCAGCTATGCATATGTTTAAAAATCGTCATTTTTCGTTAAAATATTGACGATAGTCTGAGTTGAACACTAACTTGTTGACTGTGATATGATAAAATCTAATCTCAGAATCTCAAACGACTATAATATCGCAATCAACTTGTTAACGTCATGCTCAGAAGACCATCAATTTTTTAACAGAAAATGACAAGTTTGGAATATATGAATAGTCAGGTGATCATTTTATAAATTTTAATAGTTGAGGGACTTAACAAAGCAACACACTATAATTGAAGGATTATTTTATAAATTTTAATAGTCAATGACTCAATAAATTAGTGCCCTATAGTCGGAGATCATTTGTGTCCTTTACCCTTAAAGTTAAAAAAAATGTCATTAATCAAAACAATAAAAAGATAAATGTTTGAATTATAATTTTTTATTTAAGTGTTTAAAGCTTTTTTAAATTAAGCCAGTCAAAACTTTTTAAAGTGAAAACCTTGACAATATAAAAAAGAGTAGGATAAACTACACCTATGTACACTTAATTATTGATGAATTCTATTTAGACCATTGATCTTTCAGTTTTTTTAATCAGACCATTTAATTACTTAAATGATGTCAATCAAGCTACCTTTCGCAAACATTTGATGGAAGATCTGATGTGATAATTAAAAACACGGTATAATTACACATTTGGTCTCCATTATTAACATATTCTATCAATTTAGTCCTGATTGTAATTTAATTTAATAAATTTAATCTTCTAATTACATGTTTCAACATACGATTACAGATTAAATTTATTTAATTAAAACTAAAAGTAGAACCAAATTGATAAAATATGTAAATAATGATGACTATTACTATATCAAATTTGTTAACTACCACATCACTTCCCCGTTAAATGTTAATGGCAAGAATAATCATTTTAATAGTTAAGTGATATGATTTACAAAATTAAAAGATTGATGGTCAAAATAGAATCCCTTTTTAGTTATCCAAAAAAAATAACAAATTTGACTTGGAGATTTTTTTGGGCTTAATACCAAAATAAATGCCCAAATTATATCACTTTTCACGAATAGGTGCCTAAAGTATTTTTTAACTCATCCCAATGCCTAAAGTTACAAACATTACCACTTTAGGTACCTAAGCCGTCAATGTGTTAATTTTTTTAGGAGTCTTCGTTAATTCGTCCTTTGTTGGAGAAGGAGCGTGTGTTAGCCTTGCCTTTGTCTAGAGATGGATGGTTTAGGTTGCATTGTTTAGACGAACATGGTGCACTCTTTTTCCTCTAACTAGGATTAGGGAAATTTTTTATTGAGGCACACATACATTTTATTTTGTATGGGTTTGCTTTAATAAAAATCATACAAAACTACTTCTTTCAAAAAAAAATGACACGTGTCACGATCGGGTAATTTTAAAAAATATATTCAATATTAAAAAAATAAAATTATATATATTTTTATTAAAAAAACATAAACATTTTGAAATAACTCAAAAAATTAAAACCTTCATTTCAATCCTAAACCCAAGTCGGTCGTCGCCTTTTGCCGTCGACGAAGCTTCACCTGACCTCACCTCTCCCACAGACCAAAA